TCACTAATTCTATATTTCAGATAATTCAACGTATATTTATATATTTAAATAGAAATAGAAAAAATAATTCCAGCTATTATAGAAAAATGGATCATGAATATATTCCTGTACTTGGAATGAAGAATGGCCAAAAACGATTAATGAAGAAATTTATGAGATAGATATTGAAAATACTAATATAAATGTTACTGAAAAAATAGGCGATGATTATTTAATTTAATTATACAGAGAAAGAAAATTTTTATATGATAAAAAACATCGAGATTTTAAGGACAACGAATTAAAACATAATGCTTGGAAAGAAATTTCATTGATAATGACAAAAGATAAAAATCTAGGTAAGTAATAAATTTTTTACGTTATTAATAAATTTGTAATAAGAATTATGACAATGGCCTTGTACGACATACGTTTTTCTTTGTCTTACTTTACGTACCTACTCCACGACTACGACAGACGTAAGCGCTCACGTCTAGTTCTCTGCCATCAGTCTTACTATTTCTCATACTTACTATTTCTACGGCCGGTATTCATAGTTCGATCTTATATTTAAGATCGTTTTAAGTCTGGTCCGAGGTTGACTTAAGACCTCCTTCAACCAATCAAATAGCTGCGTAGCATTTCAAGCTCGAACTTAAGACGATCTCAAATATAAGATCGGACTATGAATACCGGCCTATGGTTGATCAATTTGCCTACGACTTAGGCCCGTTCTAGAATGAGTCGTAAATCGTAAGTCGTAGGCAAATTGACCAATCATGGTTGATTATTTCAAAAATAATCAACCATGATTGGTCAATTTGCCTACGACTTATGACTTACGACTCATTGTAGAATGGATCTTAATCGGATTTAATAACATCCGTATTCTAAGACTAACCAATCACCATAGACCTTACAGATATGGACTGGCAATTGCCTATAGTTTCTGTAGAGAAGCAGTGTCCGGAGGAGGTTAGAGAGAGAAACATACTTTTTAGTACTTCTCTTTCTACAAGTGTCCGAAAGTATGCATTGCACTTGTAGAAAGAGAAGTACCAAAAAGTATGTTTCTCTCTCTAACCTCCTCCGGACACAGTCTGATACGTATTGCCAGTCCATACTTATAAGGTCTATGCCAATCACAGTCATTCCATTCTTCAGAGGAATAGTTGTGATTGGACAGTTTTAGAACTACTGATGTTATTAAACCCGGGGTGTTTACGATAATTAATCAGATTTTTGATCGGACTGAGCAGTGGTACTCAGAGATAACTTTCTAAATTTCCCTAGACTAATCCAGATCAATGATGTGTCTCTGAAGTAATCGAATTAGATTAACAACTTATTCTTATTTTATAGAAAACATCTTATTCCAGTAAAATACATTTGTTTATTAATATATATTTGATAAATAAAGATATATTAATTAAAAGAATAATAAAGTATCTTCTATAATTTCTTATGATGTTTTTCACAATTTTTTCCATCAGCTCGACCGCAATTTCTTTCGATGACTGTTAATCTAATTCGATTATTTCCGAGACACATCATTGATCCGGATTAATCTAGGGAAATTTAGGAAGTCTATCGCTGAGTACCACTGCTCAGTCCGATCAGAGATCCGATTAATTGTCGTAAACACCCTCGATTAAGAGTGACGTGTAAACGTAGTCATTGTAGAACGGGAAATCTTACAACTTGCGACGTTATGATACGACCAATGTAGATCTGGCTTAATAACTTATCCACACCACACACACATACACACACACACACTCTCTCTCTCTCTCTCTCTTTCTCTCTTGCTCTCTCGTCGCATGTGCGGTTCGGTTGAGCAAACAGCTGGGAAGATAGAGAGAAAGAGAAAGGGAGAACATGGAGAAGTCAAGAGGCAAATGCGTCTAGTCGCGGTGCGGCACGCGCACGCGGAGAGGACAAAGAGAGGGGAGGGAGCGAGAAAGAACAGTAGATACCGCGCGCGGGGTATATTATCGCTGCATCGCACCTGATAGCTCACCGCGATTTGACGCGATCCCCGAAAAAGAGAAAAAAAAAGAACATTCTCACCACGCTACGTACTACGTATTACGCGCGTGGACCGCGCCGTGTTTCACTCGGAACGCGAGCGCCATTGGCAATGTCGGGAAGTGACAGCCCAACATTCTTTCACGGCCAGCCCTGGTCTAGCTGGATCGAAAGAATCGGACGGGACAAGCCGCTGAGTAAGTGCGCTAAATCTGTCCATCCTCCGTACGCCCGCGGCCGTGATGGCCTCAACGGCGACGGGCGTCGGAGACGCGCGGTACTCTAACCTCACTTCGACGCTTCTTTATCAACGGCATCGGGGGGGAAGAGCGACGGGCACGCTGTTTTCTCGCGCGTCGCGCCCCCGTTGCCGGCGTGAGTCTACGCGTGAATGATTTTTCAGGACTGATAATTTATATGTAAATAATTTGCGAAAGCGAGGGTCGCACAATCTTGACCATATTCGTCGAGGAGGAAATAATTATATCGTATAGATTTAATAGACGGGAGATATTGTTGAAAAAAGAAACGCGGCATTTCCTCGCAAATTGATGAATCCTGTATAGCCGCAATTGTGCATGTATGCGAGATGTAAATAAAAAAATAAAACTTACTACAAAGTTGTGTTCTTTATTTCACATTTCTGTTCAAATATTAAGTTTGAAATAGTCTCAGAAAGAAATCTCATATAGTTAAATACATATAATTTTACATATACACACATGTGTAATTAGAAAATTTAACATGTATGATTTCTTTAATAGATTTTATGTGCAGTTAATATGATAAATTAGTGTGTAAATAATATTTTTGGATTAATGTGTTAAATCTCTTTCCGCAATATATAGAGAAATAAAATTTCTAATTTGTTGCGTAATGAAATATATATTTTATATTAAATACATATTTTATATTAAAAAGATCATTGTTTTTTTGGAATATGTAGATAAATTTTATGTTGACTAATATTAAGTGCTATCATAAAATTATATCTTTTAGGCGATGAAGAAACAGAAGTCCAACCATCAAGCTCAGTCACACGTCTTTCTGCAGAAGGTAATTGTTCGCTTATTCTCAATATTATATCTTAAAATAATATACACAATAATAAAAATAATGTATTTGATTATCTCAATTTTATAAATTTGCTATAATATTAATTTAACAAAATGTTTCTCAGATATTGACTTATATGGCTTCTGCCCAGAGAGGGATGATTTTTATGGAGTGGTATGCGAAATATGCAATGCCATAGTAAAACCACAAGCTTTTATTCAACATATGGGTATGTATTTCCCTTTTATTGTTACATTAATTTATAATAGCACAAATGTGTAAATTTGTGTCTACAAAAAATATAGAATATAGAAATATAGCTGCCTTTTATAACTGTTTATAACTATAAGATGTGTTATAGTAAAAAATCTTAATTATTTAGTGAATATTCTAGCTTAAAGATAAATATTAAACACTTTGATTCCTAATTTTAATAATTTATGATTATAATGTAAAACATTAATTATTAATTACTTTTATTATCTTAATTTATATTTTGCATTTTGATTTAAATCTGTATTTTGAATATTAAATCTTGGAAAAAGATTTAATAAAATTATAGTTATATTAATTAATGTTATGTAGTATGTTATGTTGGCACTTTAAAAATAGATGAGATGTACTTTTCTAATTGTAAACTATATTTTATAACATTATATTTTACATTACTATTAATTGTTCTTTTATATATAATTATATACAGAGTGGACCAATAACTCTGTTCATCTGGAATATCTCCGTTATTTTTAGAGATACAAAAATTTTGTACGTATAAAAGTTGTATGGTATCAAGAGAGCTGTAATATGCTACTAATAATTTTTTTGTAGGTGGAGTCGCTTCAGAAATTTCAAGGTTATCCCCATTTTTTATTGCCTATTCTTATAGCTTATCTCGAGAGCTTTCCAAAACACTATAATAAAGTATTTCTTCATTGAGTACTTTTCGAGTTATGAGGCTTGAAATAATTTCTTAATTTTACATAAACCATAAAATATCTAGTAAAATATTCATTTTTTTATTATCTTACCTTAATACTTTTATATACAAAATAATGAGAGAAATCAATTGGTGTAAAGAAAAAATAGTTGTTTTTTAATAAAAATATGTAATTTGCAATTAACAATTTCATATTTTTTCTTAAAAACAACTGTATGTTTTCTTTACACCTGACAATTGATTCTTCTCATTATTTTGTATATAAAAGCATTAAGGTAAGATAATCGAAAAATGAATATTTTACTATTTATATTTTATGGTTTATATAAAATTAAGAAATGATTTCAACCCTCATAACTCAAAAAGTACTCAATGAAAAAATACTTTATTATAGTGTTTTGGAAAGTTCTCGAGATAAGCTGTAAGAATAAGTAATAAAAAATGGGGGGTTCTATTTAAAAAAATGGAGATGACCTTGAAATCTCTGAAGCGCCTCCACCTACAAAAAAATTATTAGTAGCATATTACGGTCCTCTTGGTACCGTACAACTTTTATAAGAATTTTTGTATCTCTAAAAATAACGGAGATATTCCAGGTGGACAGAGTTATGAGTGAGATCCACCCTGTATACAGGGTGGCCCATTTTAATTTCCCCAGCCAAATATTTCGGAAAATAATGAAAAATCAAAAAAATGTTTCAGACAAAAGTTGTATGGTTTCTAGGGGGACATAAGATGGTACCATTGGTTTGACCTTGAAGAGTTATTTGAAGGTCACATGAAGGTCATCTTCAATTTCTTAAATGGAACCTACATTTTCTCATTACATATTCTTGTAGCTTATCTCGAGAGCTTTCCAAAACACTAGAATAAAATATTTTTTTATTGAGTACTTTTCGAGTTATAAGGCTTGAAATCATTTCTTAATTTAAACATAAACCGTAATATATCTAGTAAAATATTCATTTTTCGATTATCTTGCTTTAATACTTTTATGTACAAAATAATGAGAGAAATCAATTGGTGTAAAAAAAACACATAGTTGTTTCAAAGAAAAAATATGTAATTGTTAATTGCAAATTACATATTTTTTCTTAAAAATAACTATGTGTTTTCTTTACACCAATTGATTCCTCTCATTATTTTGTACATAAAAGTATTAAAGCAAGATAATCGAAAAATGAATATTTTACTAGATATATTACGGTTTATGTTAAATTAAGAAATGATTTCAAGCCTCATAACTCGAAAAGTACTCAATAAAAAAATATTTTATTATAGTGTTTTGGAAAGCTCTCGAGATAAGCTACAAGAATATGTAATGAGAAAATGTAGGTTCTATTTAAGAAATTGAAGGTGACCTTCATGTGACCTTCAAATAACTCTTCAAGGTCAAACCAATGGTACCATCTTATGTCCCCCTAGAAACCATACAACTTTTGTCTGAAACATTTTTTTGATTTTTCATTATTTTCCGAAATATTTGGCTGGGGAAATTAAAATGGGCCACCCTGTATATATATATATATATATATATATATATATATAATATATATATATAATATATATATATATATATATATATATATGCTATTATATATAATATATATAATAGTTATTGAATTTTTAAAATTTTTAATTTAATATTAAATCAAAATCTAATTAAAATAATTGATAAAATCATGTTCAAAATATATGTATACATAGTTTTATTTATGCTTTGTGTATAGATAATTCATTAAATTGCAAAAATTCTCAGCTTGCAACTCATTAGCGGCTTGTATATATATTTGCAGGTATAAGAATTGTAAACACATCTTCTATTTTGCCACAGAGTGTCGCCATCCTTCCGGCACAGCAAGTTTTCCGCCTCCTTCGAATCCGGTCGTGAAACCACCTGCGAAAACCCCTTTTTGTAAGGTGTCCAAGCTGAAGAAAACTACCAACCAGCTACCAACTCCTTCATCTTCTTCGATTCCCACTGCTAGTGGCGCAAAGCTGAATCATACAATCGTCAAGCGTACTACGGATCAGGCAAATCTGTCTGCGAGTGGTTCGCTACCGATCTCATCGCCTCGGTCGCCCCTCGAGTCGATCCCAGTGCAAACTACCTCTCCTAACGTGCCCGGCCCCTCGAATCTTGTTGGTGTCTCAACCAACAGCGGTAGTAGTCCAGGCAAAAGCCCCAGTACCGGTGGCAGCAACAGCGGCGGTGGCGGCGGCAGTGGTGGCGGTAATCAACCTCGCCGCAAAAGACTTAAAACAGACCGCTCATTGCTCAAAGATCGCGAATATGATCCCGATCGGCACTGTGGCGTTTGGAACGAAGAGACTGGCAAGCCTTGCACCAGGTCACTCACATGCAAGGCGCATACTGTCTCGTTGCGCCGAACGGTCATTGGTCGCAGCAAGACCTTCGATAAGCTCCTTGCAGAACATCGAGCTGCGAAAGAACAGCCGAACAGCGGCAGCAATCGACAACCGACAAAGATGACAGTCTCTGGCACTATTACCGTAGCTTCGACCGTTACCGTTGCCGTTGCCGCGGCATCTAGCCTGAACAATCCCCTTACTCCCAACACTCCAGTATCCATCGCTGAGCCAGAAGCGCCGAGCTCGCCGCCTGTACTATCGCTGCCAGACACATATCCACTGCCAAAGGTAAGCGAACGGTTGCTTTTTTTCTTCCCCTCGCAATATTTTGTATTTAAGACTCTCTGTACACACTCTGTACACTTCTCCCCATGATCTCGTTTTTCTGTAGTATCCTCGGTGTGATTCTTCTTTATTCGCCACGCCGTATTACTATGATCAGTTTCTTCCGCGTGAGCAATCTTTGTTCGGAAGACTGAGATTGTTTGCGTATCCGATGAAATGAAAGTTTCAATTTGATCAGTGTGGTTGAGGCGAATTTGTGTATAAATACAGTTTTGTGTTGGGCATTTTACTTTCAGCGTATTTAAAGAAGATGTGAACAATAAAAATGTATAGCTTTCTTACTTTTCTGTCAAAATTATTATATAGCTTGAGATAAGTTTGAGATATTATGCATGATGTTGGTTCTCTTATTTTATATTATGCTTCGAAAAAAAACTTTCATTTCTGCATACTTTTATAATGTCAGACATTGAAAAACAGATTATAAAAAAGTAATATAGAAATATCTTTTTTCTTTTTACGTTAAAAAGAGATAGATTAGATTTTATTTAGATGAAGAAAATTTTTATTTTTATTTTTTATATCTTATAATTTATTTTTTTATTAAATGGAGATATTATTTTGCCACGATGTTAAAAAAATATCATAAATTACTTAATAACTAAAAAATAAAAATTTTTTTGTCAACTATATTATAATCGTTTCCTGAGAAATAAAATAAGAAAAAGACTTGTGTTCAATAAATATATTGATATCATGTATACATTAAGTCTATATTTTGATCTCAATAATTGTTTAAAATTCAATAATTGTTCATTATTGCAAAGTTGAGACATAGATGTAGAAGAGATGAAAATTTTCCTTGTAAAAATTCAATTTTAGATTTAAATCTGAAATTGAATTAGATTGAATTATACAGGTTTTGATATAGATATATATTGATACACATTTCTCTTTTATTTGCGTATTTACTTTTTGGTAAATGTTTGGTAAATTTTTAATAATACATTGTCAAGGTTTTTGCGAAAAACATTATTTAAATATTCTTTATTTAAATATTCTTTATTTAAGTATTTATAATTTTTTTAAATATAAACAATGAATAGCCTGAATTCTATTAAATATTACTAAAGATCATAACTTGGCAATGTTAATATGTTATGAGAGTGAATCTCATAAACAAAGGTTAATAAATAAAAGAAATAATTTAAAATTATGCATCTTAGTGACAAGAAACGTCATGCGATTTAAAGTATATATATCATTTAGAATTTCACTCCGTAAAATATAACTCGAATAAAAATAATTGCGAGATTATCTTTTATTAAGTATTTTTTCAAGAAATCTAGGAATTTTAATGATTAGTAGGAAATCAAAATTAAGAGAAGGCATGTCCGAAATTAAATAATATCGTAGTTTCTACTTATTTTCTATAGGAACGAATCCAATCATTATCTAATCATTATTTTTTTAAAATTGCATTATACGATTTTAATATGTTTTCGATTTTATATGTTTCACAAATCATTTTTAATAATTATATAAATTATCTGACAATATATACGCATGCGCGTATATTCTCTTATGATAATAATACATTTCCGTACTCCAGTAATACTAAATAATAGATATATTTTCTGTTAAATTAAACTAAAGATTATATTATAAACATACATATATATATATATATATATATATATATATATATATATATTATAAAGTTAATTTTTTAAAATAAATAACAGAATAATAAAAAATTAAAATTATTTTAAAAGATAAAATGTAGATTTAGATAAATGTATATTTTTAATTTGTCATACACACACACACACACATACACACACACGCGCGCGCACGCACGCGCGCACACACGCGCGCACACACACACACACACACACACACACACCTATACAGGGTGGCCTCGAACGTTTCAGCCAGACTTTGAGATCTTATAGGAAATTTAATTCTGAACAAAAAATTTTCTATAAACATGGGTCGAAAAATGCTTCCTTAAAAAGTTATCGCTCAAAAACCTCTGAAGAAAGAGCAAAAGGTGAAAAGAAAATGAAATAAAAAGAAAATGAAACTAAATAAATTTCTTGAAAAACGTCTTTATTCATTTTCTATTATTACGTGCTATTACTAAAATATTAGTTTAAAAAAAAATAATTTTATTTTCATAAAAGAAAAAGATTTTTATTTTTTATTTTTATCGTTTTTTTCAAGAAATTTATTTAGTTTTATTTTCTTTTTATTTCATTTTCTTTTTACCTCTTCTTTCATCAGAGGTTTTTGAACGATAACTTCTTAAAGAAGCATTTTTCGACCCATGTTTATAGGCAGTGTTTACTGGTATCTAGATAAAATTATCTAGATAAAGAAATGGATCATCTTTATCTTTAACTAGATGAAGAAATATAAAGTATATTTATCTTTATGTTAGATAAAAAATATATCAAGTCATCTTATCTAAAAATTGTGTAAGATGATATTTTCATTATGCAAAAGAGTTTTCCAGATAAGCTTCTAAAAATCTATCTAAAATATCTAAAATTTTTGAGAAACTTAAAACTTAATAACTTAAAATGAGAAAAGAACGCCGTCTTTTTTATTCTGTTTTTTTATTTAAATTTACTTACTTGTATTTGTTTTACTTAAATTTGTGCAACGCATAATGTATATTTTATAAAAATGAAATATGTATTGTTACACATTGATTATTATATTATTAATATATTATAAATATATTACAAATATAAATTAATAAATAAATATTTATCATATCGTTTATATATACCTTTTTGTTATTATTTAAATATTCTTTAGGAAAAGAGAAAGAATATGTGTTTATGATTTTAATATCCCATTTATAATCTGTGTCACATTTTTTACCAATATTTATAATCTTGTAAAATAAACAAAAATATCTAGATAATTATCTAGATTATCGCAATAAGCATTTCATCTTTCATCTAGATTGAGTAAAAGAAAAATCATCTTTATCTTATCTAAGATAAATTTATGGATTTTTATCTTTATCTTTATCTAGATAATTTTGAAATTATCTACAGCAAACACTGTTTATAGGAAATTTTTTGTTCAGAATTAAATTTCTTATAAGATCTCAAAGTCTGGCTGGAACGTTCGGGGCCATCCTGTATACACCTATTGTCATATACAGGGTGTCCCAAAACTCATAATCAATCTTTCAAAGACAGACTCCTGGGATCATTTGGAAACGATTTTTCCTGAGCGAAAATATCGACGAAGGCCATCATTTTTTGCGTGTTTCTGATTTTTGTCATCATATATCTTTGCAATTAAGCCTTAAATTAAAACTCAACTAAAGTAAACTCTATTTAAAATTAATCGAAGAATGTGGTTTTGTCAATATTTTATTTCTACAAAGCTTAATTTACGAAAAACTCCTTATTTCCAATCACTTATAATTCGAAAATTATTAGTGCCTTGACATTTTCGTTGAGGAAAAATCATCTTCAGATGATCCCAGGAATCTGTCTTTGAAAGATTGATTATGAGTTTCGGGACATCCTGTATATTTGTGTGTGTGCGCGCGCGCGCGCGCGTGTGCACGTGCGTGTGGATGTGTGCGTATGGGGGAGGGGGTCTGCGCGCGCGCGTGTGTGTGTGTGTGCGTGTGTGTATGTGTGTGTACGTAGGTAAATTTATTCAGATATGGGAAATATTTTATATTTAAAGAAACGAAAAAGAAATAAAGAAAATCGTTCGATTCTGCTAACAAACACGGATTGATCGACCCAGTCGAGTCAGCGTCGAGACGCGACAATGAGCTACCTCGCGTTAAAGGCAAAGACAGAGGGTGTCGGTTGATACTTGTTTTCTGTTTTTGTTATTGCAGGCTGTTGATTTGCTTTATCGGTGTCTGGCCCCGCATGGCTCCACTAAACCTGTAAGGCATGGTTTCTTTTGGGCATTTAAACGCCACCTTCTCCGGGATCTACGATTCTTACTCTACGAATCGTCAACTCTTCTTTTTTTTTAGACCAAGCTCGAAGAAGATTTCGCCAATGCGGAGGAGTTGCAGAGTTTAGAGTCTACACTGGTCAATTCTACCATTGCAACCGACAACAACAGCAGTAACAGCGGCGGTGGTGGCGATGGAGGTGGTGGCGGCGGCAGCACGTTGCAGCAACAATCAGGTTCGATGATGGGACCGATATCTGTGATGCTGCCGTCGCTGTCCCCGCTGCCGGGTATAAACAACGAAGGATCGCCAGGCGTTGCTACTCTGATACCGAGCACTACAACGCCTACCGCGATGCCGATCATATCGATGCCACTGCCAACCACTTGCGTGCAACCGCCCACGATGGTTACGACGGTGCTTGAGGGCGAGACACCGGTGGATATCGATACCGAAACCATGTCTCTATATTCTCCCATTTATACCGCGACCAAAGATGTCAAGTCGCAGCTAATGATGCAGATACAATCACGACCAAATAGTCATTCGTTGCAATCACCCGTTTCGATTAGGAACTATCAGCAAATACAAGCTTCTATGCCGAGCTTGAATTTATTTAAGCCAGTGGAACAGCTGGAGCAACAGCATGCAAGTCAAATCAATGGTAAAAGACTGAATCATGCGAATCCGATGTCATCGCGACAGCAGAAAAGGCATGGCAAATCACATCACGAGCAGTTATCGTGTCAATCGTCGCAGGACTATTCGACATCCGCATCGATCCAGGTTGAAGCGACAACTACACCGTCGCCATATCCGCATTTTGGCGATATCTCCTGGTCGAATTGTCATCCGGAACCATTGGCAGTTAGCCGGTGGCTTCGTCTCTCGTCCAGCCGCAAACAATACAATTTCAATATTCACTGACACAAGACCCCACCCACCCCGGGCTGAGGACTGAACGCTGCGGGCGTTGTTTGTCTACCTCCTTTCTTTAGCTACATCACCCTTTCTTTCTTCGTTGCTCACAGCGTTGTCGTCGTCATCCTAGTCGTTGCCACCGTAGTCAACGTCACGTCCACAGCCTATCGAAAGGGGAGGGGGGGGGAAAGGGTTCTTATTTTTGTCATTCATCGCTATAAATGTGAGTATTTTGCGTAATCGATCGCAAAAAATCTGTCCGCGATGCCTTGGATAATGTTTCCGCACGAACTTCGATATGCGATGTAATCTTTCGCTTTCGTGTATGATATCGCATGATACACGAAACTTTGAACATCAGATCACGAGTACGTCAAACGCCTAGAATCTCGAGAATTTCGTATCTAGACCTTCAAACTTCTTACGGAACTCCATGAAGAGAAGGAATAGGTATCGATGTATGTATTCCACTCTCGTTTACTCGCTAAATTTTTAATGTAAGATGGAGAAAAAAAAGATGAAAACACAAAAGAATGGGAATGTGTATCTTGATAACGGCGAATGAATGATTTACACAATATCGCGATATTGGATAAATTTCTGCACATAATTCTTTACACAGTATACCATGTGTTGTGTTTATTTGTTATACGACTTATAATGTTGCAGAACATTCCGTCAATCCTCTTCTCAGTTATTCGCGTTACGACTATCTCGTAATGATCATGAGAGAGAACTGCAATTAGTTTATTAAGTGATTTCTAGATACTCTTAAAGAAAAAGAGAGATATAAGAGTTTGCGTTTGTATATCGAAAATATTTCGGATATAATCAGATATAAAATCAAGCGATATTGCAATTTAAATGTCAAATATTCTTGCCAAAACAATTGATGATAATGATGATGATGTATGTACGTTCATTCGTGATTTTTATTCAAGTAGTTGAAGTTATTTTTATCAAACCGTTATATCATGCGAGAATTATTTTTATAATTCTGATCATCATGTTGAGTTTTTTTTTTAAGAGAGTTGAAATTATTTAAGAATTTCTCTTTAGTATATCATGATTTATGAAACACCCTTTATTTTTATATCTTGAAGTCCATTTCCAACGTATTCCTAGTAAATTATTGAATATGTTTCTGAGATTTTTTTTCATTAAATTAGAAATTAATAATTGCATATAGCGTTTTATGGACCGGTAAAATTATGAACAATTATTTTCATTGTACAAAATACCATCATATATTGTGTATTTTTTTATCGAATTGTGCAGGAATTTTGTAAATAGATCGCAAATTAATTATTATCTCATATTGTACATAGGAAAATGTTTAGCGGCTAAACACAGATACAGATTTTGCATAAATGAAAAGAATTTCAATTTATAAGATGAATGTGTAGATTGTATATATAGTATATATACACATTATATGTATATATATTTTTTTTATCTCACGATCTTTTATCTCCCTTGCATATGTGAGTATTCACGAACATAAGAAGAGCGCCATTATTTGATGTTATATTATACATACACCTTTGTTTCTTTTTTTACCATTTTTTGTTATAAGGTTAAAATAGGAAAATCGTAATTCCGAATTTTTTTAAAATTTTGATTTTATTTTGCATTATTGAGTTTCGTGGTAACGAAATTAGTTCGTAATGTAAGTATTACGATTAGGAACAAATTGAGTGATATTTTTTTCTCTTAAAAGAATTGCGAATATACAAATTGAAGAGGCCAGTAAATGAAAATTTAAAATCCTCTAATGATATTAAATATATTGATTAAATATGTTGATATTGATTTATACGATAATATATCACAAATAATTTTTTTAATCTGAAGCAATAACATTGTTTCTCACAAGTAATTATTTTTTCAAAAATATTTGTAAAAAAATACTTGTGTCTGTTTGTCCTTTCAATGGTAGCAAGTTTGCATTCACTTGTATATACGAATACTAGTAAAAGTCCGTGCAAATCTGTGTAGTGCGAAAAGTTGCGCGACGTAATCAATTAACGTATTAAATTAAAGCATGATAATAATACAAATAACAAAGTTTAATGATTTATATAACTTTGAGGCTATTAACAATTTGGATTAAATATTGCTCAAAAAATTGCTCGATGTATGATTTTCCTCATATGTAACTAGATTAATATTTTAATATTTTATTAAAGAGAACAATAACGTTATAGTATTATTCAAATACTATAATTATACTAATTATTCTATGCGCAGCATATCATAGTGAATCAATAAATATGAATTTATAATACAAACGTATACTACAATACGTATAATACAAACGCAATACAAATTATTAAAAATTTTTCAAATTTTCTTTTCACTATTCTATATAAATCTTATAAATTTCTTTGCGATGTATGTGCATAAGTTTGTTTGATTTAGTGTAGTTTATTCGCGTAAACAATTGATTGAATAAATCGTAAGCCATTGTATAGATTTGTCTGCGGACTTAAACGTAGATTAGTGAGCAATTCCGCTGTATTTTCATCTAATATGATTATTTATTTTTATACGTACTCGTTATAATTTGCATCCTTGCGTACTGCAATTTTTTAATGATGATGAGTAAAAAGCGCGCAAAGTTAATAATGCGGCAGAATACAGGATATGCATACTTCTTATCATAGATTGTGATATTTAATTTTATTAATGATTATAGTAAAAGGTAAAATTGTACATATGTGTTTATTTTGTGTTCGACGGCAAAAATATAGCACCTTTTTTTTCGTAAGAGATGCTTTTTTGGTGCTGTCTCGTTGTTTTCTCGCCTTGTCATTAGAAGAAGAAGAAAAAATACTGTTTGTTGTTTTTTAATTGCGTGCTTACATTAATAAATAGATTTCTTTAACTTAATGAATGTAAGCGAAAATTAGAAAATGATAAAAATTAGGCCAATATGTGCGATTATTGTAGAACAAAAAGGAAGAGAAATATTGTATGTTTGTGCGCGCGTGTTAAGTTATATGAAAGAATGTTAAATTCTTCAATATACCGCACAGTATAAAGCGATGCTTCACATCATCGCCACTGATCCTCTCGGCTACCTGAAACCGTGATAACTTGTACATAAATTATGTAAGCAATTAATTATCCATGTACCTATGGATATCAATTAGCCGCATAGTTGTGTAAGAGAACTTGTAAGAATAATACATACATAACATGTACACATGTATACATATGTATATCTATGTAAACACGTTAAAAAAAAGAGAGAGGGGGAAAAGAGGGAGAAGATCTCTATTGAAACTCGCAGACATTAAAACTTCGACTGTTCTGACGAGCATTTCGCCTACGTAATTTCGTACGTATAAGTATGCGAATATTCCGCATATATATATAATATTGTATTTAATATCAAATATGGTTCTCTCGATTTCTTAGTTTCATTATGATACGAGAATCACGATAAAAATTGCGCAACAATTTAATGCGGTTTTCTTGATTCGAAATTTCATTTTCTCCAATGTGAGGTGACAAATAGGCAGCTTTATTTCACTAAAAATGAATGATAAACGCTATATCTATACGCAAACAATCGGTTCCCGTTTCCTTAAAAAATCACTCCGTGTATGTACCACATTTAGTGTTCATTGCTTGCAAGACGATTGTATCGATAAATCGATCTTGAGAAACGATGCGACACTGATAACGAGCATCATTATAAGGAATCCTGATTAACAAGTTTGGCTCAATAAACCAAAGCCATAGAATTCTTTCACATCACTGTTCACAACTATTTCAAGAGCAATAATATAATACGGTCCACGATTAAACAAGTTTGTAGCAATAATCATTTCATTAACTGTAAGACATTAAGAAGGCGCATTTTCCGTTGACTTTCATGCTCTTGTTATCGATAAAACATAGAGAATGTTAATCGCCGTGCTATAATTTCTAAAATTAAAACTGATCTGGCGAAAAAGAAGTGAATCGAAAGGATTCATAGAAATTTTTATTTTGCAAGGAACTTTCGAATCTCAAAAAAAAAAGTAATAAAAATTATTAAATTATTGACATTTATTTTGTATATCGTTCTTGAAATATATTCGCATATGCATTTTTTAATTAGAATTAAAATAATAAAATTTTTTCTATTTTATATATAGGGTGTTTTATATAAAATATTATAAGATGTTTTCTCCGCGAAACTTGTATATGTAAAACAATGTTTCAGATAAAATTTATAGGATTTCAAGAAAAAAAAGTTGATAATCTTGAATTTTAATTAAGATCATGTAAAAATTGCTACCTAATGTTTTTAAATGTGACTATCCTAATTTTTATACAAATCAATACCTCACAATATTTGGCACAAAAAGTTATAAGAGTAGAGGATAAAAATTGAATATTTTACAAAATTTCATAATTTATGTAAGATTATATAAGTTTATTTCATAATTTATGTAAGATTATGTTAAAGTATAGAATGTTTCGTAAACTATATATATTTAATTTTTAGTCATCATATTTTTATAACTTTTACTTTTTATTAATTTGTATAAAAGAATTTGTTTCATTTAAAAACATTAGGTCGTTCTTGAAAAGTTATTTTACTTAAAATTTAAAATTACCAACTTTTTCTTCCTCAAAACCCTATAAATTTTGTCTAAAACATTTTTGTGTACAACATCAAGTTTCAGAGAAAATATCTTATAATACTCTGTATAACAATTTATGTGAACACTTCATATATTGCTGACATAATAGAAGAAAATAAAGATGAAAATTTTAAAATAATTTTCAGAATCCGAAAAATTTCTATGAATTTTTTAAAAATTTGCTTAGTTTTACAATTTTACAAAGAAATATATTCAAGCGCAAACTATACCATTTTATTACATAAAAAAAGTTTTATTTTGTTCTAAGAAAGAGCGAGAAGATAGAAAAGAGAAAAAAGTAACAACTGTTTTTTCTTACAGACATCTATATATTGTCTGTGATTTTTCTTCGATTCAATTTCCTCTTGCCTCATTAGTGCGCATGCGCGTTATAAAATGACTAGTATTTTAAATAATTCTATCAGCGTAAAACTATGTGGTGCAGTGGAATGATATGTACGATAGATTGATAAACTGATTAAGACTGAATATATCAATGAGACGGGAGGAGGAACTCGTCCAATGAATTAGATTATCAGTGACTTTTAGTGATTTTTTTTGTATAGATTCTTTCTTCAAATAGCGCGTTCAAACTTAATTTCCGAAGAGCGTATCGGTGGTACATATTGCTTTATATCATGTTGAAAAACGTATGCATGCGTTACCATTATAGAATGGATGATTAAACTATTTATCTCTTTGACACTGTAATTTCATGTGGGAAGGTGAAAAAGAGAACAATTCCTGGCTTCAGATTTATTACAAAGCGCAAGATATTTTGTGGCATTTAATTTAAATATATGTTTTATATTTATTTGTGTAAATTGATATTTTTATTTGTCCGTTTATTTTACACCCGTTTATTTTCTATCTATATTCATGTACAAATAAATAAGTAAATATTTATGTAAGAATATATTAGTTAGATATATATGAATAAGGAGAGAGGAGAAAGAAGTGAGAAGAGAGGAGAGAAATACAAGAAATTTGCTTTTAAAAATACATTTTTTTGCATATCACTGATTGTAAATATGACATATTTCGATTATATCATATCCATGTATTATTATTCATATATTAATTATTTGAACATTAATGCATATAATTAACAAATATTTAAAATTATATGAGATTTTATAATTTTGCTATCTATTATTGGTACGTAAATTTTAATCATTTATATTAAAAGTTGATAGTATCTATATCAAAACGTTTATTTTTTTTAATTGTTTAGATTTTATTTTTTTGTATATATACAAGTTAGAACAAGATGTTATACAGATATGTATTCTTTAACATGTGTACCAGTAGGAATTTTATTCTTCATTATTAAAT